TCTGCAGGCAGCCGTAATTCTCTTCCAAAGTTTGCGAAAGCTGGTGTCACTGCTGTACTTTCGTGAACAGAACTTCGATATGACAACAAAAACGGTTGTATGTGCTTGTCCCAATCTCGTTGCCGATTGTCTACAACTTTTGCTAGGTACCTCTCCAATGTCTGATTAAATCGTTCCACCATTCCATCAGATTGCGGGTGATAAGAAGTCGTTCTTGTTTTATGAGTACCCATAACTCGGCAAGTTTCCTGGAATATTTGAGACTCAAAATTCCTTCCTTGATCGCTGTGAATCTCTAAAGGTACTCCAAAACGACAGAAGACTTCATGAACTAGTTTATCTGCAACTGTTGAAGCTTCTTGATTTGGAATGGCGAAGACTTCTGGCCACTTAGTGAAGTAATCCATCACAACCATGAAATACTTGTTACCGCTTTCACTCTCCGGAAACGGCCCCGCCACGTCAATGGCTATTCTCTCCCATGGTGCACCAACATTGTACAACTTCAATGCACCTCTACTACGAGTCTGAGGTCCCTTTACAGCCGCACAACTTGTACATTTGCGACACCAGTCCTCGACATCGTTTCGACAGTGGACCCAGTAAAACCGTTCTCGGATCTTCAGTAGAGTTCGTTTAACTCCCAGATGGCCTCCTGAACAATCATTATGGTACAGCTGTAGAACATCCGGTACTTTAACTTTAGGGACAACCATTTGCAAATGACAGCTGTCTCCCCGAACGTTTTCCCATTTACGACACAGAACTCCATCCTGAAGCAGCAAGCTGTCCCACTGGGCCCAATAGCTTTTAGTGGTCGAACTCATCGCTGAGACGTCACTCCACTTGGGCTTGGGAGCACTGGCCTTTATCCATTCCAGAATCGGCTTGATGTCCGGATCTTCCTGCTGTGCATGTAGTAAGCTGTCCTTCCACTCGTTGCTGAGGTGGTCTGCCCTGAGCATCCTCATGGATACCACTTCCTTACTCTCTTGCCTAGTACAATGTTTGCAATCTTCAGGACAAGGTCTTCTTGACAATGCATCTGCGTTGCCATGAGATTTCCCGCTGCGATGTTCGATCTCAAAGTCGTATTCCTGCAGTAGTTCAATCCACCTCGCAACTTGTCCTTCTGGGTTTTTAAACTGCAATAGCCATTTTAGTGCAGCATGGTCAGTTCGTAAGTGAAATTTTCGTCCCAGAAGATATTTGCTAAAATGTTGCAACGACTTTACCACAGCTAGCAATTCGCGTCTTGTGACACAGTAGTTCCTTTCCGGTTTTGACAACGACTTGCTGAAGTACGCTATCACGACCTCTTGGTCACCATTACGTTGAGACAACACACCGCCAAGTCCTATATCACTTGCGTCTGTGTCAACTATAAATTCTTTGCTTGCATCAGGGTATCCCAAAATAGGTGTTTTGCACAGACGGTCCTTGAGCTCCTGGAATGCGATGTTACAACTTTCATCCCAGCAGAAATGTCGCTTCTCCTCGGTTAGCTTATGCAGAGGTTTGGCTATATCTGCAAAGTTCTTCACAAAACGTCGGTAATAGGAGCACAAACCCAAAAATGCTCTAACCTGCGTCTTGTCTTTTGGAACCGGCCAATCCTTTACAGCTGCGATTTTCTCTGGATCCGTGCGGATACCTTCTTCCGACACTACATACCCCAAAAAGTTGACTTGCCGTTTGAATAGTGAACATTTCTTCGGACTCAACTTAAGGTTGGCACTCTTAATCTTCATGAGCACGCGTTCCAGGTTTTGAAGGTGTTCCTCAAACGTACGGCCCACGATGATGATGTCATCCAAGTAGACCAGACAGGCATCGCCAATTAGCCCGGTAAGTACAAGTTCCATCAGCCTTTCAAACGTTGCTGGAGCATTGCACAACCCAAACGGCATTACTTTGAATTGCCACAGACCCTTTCCCGTCGAGAACGCAGTTTTCTCCTTGTCCTTAGGGTCAATTTCAACTTGCCAGTAGCCACTTTTTTAGATCCAGCGTGCTAAACCATTTTACTCCTGTAAGCATGTCCAGCGTGTCATCAATTCTTGGCAAGGGATAGCTGTCCTTCTTTGTAACGTCGTTCAGACGGCGGTAATCAACACAGAACCGCATGCTGCCATCCTTCTTCTTTACCAGTACCACGGGTGAACACCATGGACTAGATGAAGGTTCAATAACACCATCCCTCACCATTCCCTCAATCATGGTTTCCACTTCCTTTTCACGTGCTACCGGCAATCGTCTTGGCCGCTGACGGATAGGCAACTCTTCACCTGTGTTTATTTTGTGTTGAACTAAACCAGTCTTTCCTATGTCAGCATCGTTTGATGAGAATACATCGGCGTACTCGAGTAACAACTTCTTCGCCTTCACCAATTCGTTCGGGGACAGAACACTGCGACAGTCTTCCAAAAGTGTGGTCACTCTCGTTTCTGAATCCTTGCTGGGGGTCCCACTCGATATATATTGGCACTGACGTAACCAATCCACTTCCTCACAAGTACCAACCAGTGTACCTTTTTCTATAACCTGTTCCCGGTCGCAAAGGTTCAGCACACGTACTCCTGAGATGTCAGTGGTCCTGACCAAGGTTCGAGCTACTTTCCATGGAAGGTCATTGTTTACCCTTTCCACAAGTACACAACGGTGAGCTTGCCCAGCGTTTCGAGGAAGACTAACCGGAACAATCGTTTCCGATCTCGGCGGAAGAACAATCTTCTTGATGCTGTACACGTTCCCTGGTAACGCACCTTCCATAAAAAGTTCCTCCTGTCCACATTTCAAAACACCTTGCTTAACGTCGATCTCGCAACAATTATTCCTCATAAAGTCTAAGCCTAGGATGCAGTCGTCCATTATATCAGCCACGATGACATTATGCAGGTAGATCACGTTGCCTAGCTTCAACTCCATCTCCTTCTCTCCACGGACGGGTATACGCTGACGGGTGGCTGTTACCAAATTAATGCGTTCTCGGTTGTATGCGGAGTCCCCAAGGAACTGACTTATAAGTTGGGAACTAACAACCGTACGAGAGGCTCCAGTGTCTATGGTCAGTTTACACGGCATTCCGTTGACCTCGCCCTTGATGATTAGACTGTTCCCATCATGGGTTTGTGAGATCGAGATCCTTGGGGCTCTTTTAACATCAGCCAGCACCCACCCCACAGTTCTGGCTTTTACTCGTTTCCCTGCTGCTGCTGGGCGGTGCTGTTGGCCGCACTACCCACCTGGGATCGTTCACCTTCCCTTTCTAGGGTTCGCTTAGGGCAGCTGGATCGAAGATGGCCCTTTTCCCCACAGCCATAGCACCTTGGGCTGTATCCTTTGTTGCGGTCGCGAACTGTAGCGGCTGCAACCTCCCTGACGCGATGGGAACGATGATCCTGCCGCACGGCTTCTACCTCCAGTGCATGGGCCAAGGCGTCCTTAAGCGTCTCGTGGTGCCCGAGCCTCACAGCAGCTCTGACTTCCAGGTCACGGATGCCGTCGATAAATGTCTGCACCAGGTTACCTTCAATGAGCGCAGGTACAGACCGGTATGCTTTTCGCACCAGCTTCTCCACCTCTAGAGCCCACTGCTGCAGGTTTTCGTTGATGCGCTGCACACAATCTTTAAGCTGCGCACGAAAGACGTGTTCCAGGTGAGCGTCGCCATATCTCGCCTCCAATGCCTCAAGGAGTTGCTCATAAGTCACTTCCTCACCGAGAGCTTCCAGAACTGTTAAGGCCTGGTCGCGCAGGCCTAGTGTGAGAGCAGTCATGGCCTGACTTTTATTCCAGCCGTTCGCCTTCATAACAGCCTCGAACTGGATTTTGTAGGCTGACCAGGAAGAAGTCCCGTCGAACGGTGGCACTTTGAACCCACGTAGCGAAGGTGTAGTAGCTACTACGGGAGCTGTAGTTCCATCACCCAGTTTGAGTTCGTCCAGTGATTTCTTCATGTCAGACATTACGTTGTCAACCCTATTGTTCACTTGGTCGATAAGGGTTTCAGCTTCCGACAGGCGGTTTTCATGTTGAGCAACCTTATCCTTCACCTCCCTTATCTCTTTCCCGAAGGTAGCGTGAATGTCCTTCATGAGGAGCATCTGCTCTTCCTTATCGCGCTTGAGCTGCTCTTCCAACCGACGGGCCTGTTCCTCCTGTCGGCGAGCCTGTTCCTCCTGTCGGCGAGCCTGTTCCTCCTGCTGCTCTTTCAACTGACTGGCCTGTTCCTCCTGTCCGCGCTTCAGCTGCTCTTCGAACCGACGAGCCTGTTCCTGCAGCATCACCATCAGAGCACCTAAGTCAGGTGCTGCAGATGTAGGAGCTACTGACGGGCCTGCAGCTGGCGGCTGGCCCTCCGACGTCTGCGGCGTCGCACCACCAAATCTTCGTTGGTCCGTCTCCTGCTGGCGTTGACTTCGGGTACGGACACCCTCCGTTTCCTCCTTAGGTAAAATCGGCATGATTTTATCCCACTTCTGACACCAATTGTTACGAGCTTGAGGTTCGTGACAATAAAAATTGCCGATAAAATTACCTAAATTAACACTTTAATTTACTTTACACAATTAAAGTTAAAACACCAATAATTTAAACACACTAATTCACTTAATTCCACTCCGGAGCTTCGCTTGTTTCGCCCAAATCAACACTAACTCCATCGCATCTTGCAGCGCCTATATATTTAAATTAGCAAAGAAATATCCAGAATGTTCAAGTAAACACGCGGAAGGTATCGAGCGTTCGAGTTTCGACTAGGCGCTGTCAGTTGAGCGATTTGTGATGTCATTTTCTCAATGCTCCCCTCGCTCTCGTTCCTGACACTAGATGGCGCTAGTTGACTTATTCATGCAACAATATTATATAAGTAAAAGAAGGTTCTGTTACTGTTTTTTTTAAATTAAACTAAATTTTTAATGTGTAAATTTGAAATGTAAGAATCTTAAACAAAAGTTGTTATTACTTGTTACATTATACCTATAATGAACATGTTTTAGATGAGCACCGATCGGCGGGCGGCAGTTGGGAGGAGCCGGTGAGCGCGGTGCGAAACACACCGCTGCGTCGCTCACAAAGGCTCAACTCCACGCTGGATTCCAGGTACGGTACATTTGGTTCATTTCGCATACTAGACAGGTTCTCATAAAGTGAATTTAACACTTGAAGTTGAGTATTACTTCATTATAACATCTTTGTCATAGCAAAGGTCTCAATACTCCCCAGAGTTTTATACGTGGTAGAGACATGCTGCAATTGTGTTGGTGGTATAGTTGTAGCACGAATGGGTCGACTCGACCGGGGGAGGACCACGCTCTCACAGAATACCAGCGTGAAATAGTAGCTTGATGCTGCTGTATTTCGTATGGTGAGTGTAGAGAACCAGAGACCCTTTTTACTGGAAACGAGGCCATTCCATCTTAGTCCTCACGGGTGACAACGCATCTGCATTTTGATTCGTAATCGAGGATAGATGTAGATGATAGTCTATGGGCCACAGTAACCACTTACCATCAGGTGGACTGTGTGCTCGTTTGTCACCCTATCCTATTAAAAAAGGGTATTGATGATTATGATTTTTACTTTGTTGTGATTCCTTTTGGCTCTTATTGTAACCGAGCTAATGTTTTTGCTAAAATACGTATTAATTTTCGGGCCTAGTCAATTACAAAACCTATACTCTGTTTAATATAATGTAGCTAGTGTTAATATACACACATGCACACAGTAACTGGCGTTTCGTACATTTGTAGTTGTTTCCCTTCACCTGAGTGGATATTTTGCAATTGGTCACACTGATGGTGTTTCAGCCGCATCCACCGTAGGCTATGACATTTTCTGGCATTTCCCCATCGATCACTAATAAAGAACCATTTCCCATTAAGTCGCCTCTCACGTGACTCGGGACGAGATGAATTACGTAAATATTAGGTATTGTATTATTATCCAAAATTATTTTGATACAGTGTTCACCAAGAGGTCGTCATTAGTTAATAAATTAGGTTTGTATATTAACCAATCTGTTGATAGAATCAGGCGTTACTTTGCGGAAATCCATTATAATAAAAATAAAAATATAAATTTCTTCGCAACCTTCCGCTAAATAAATACAATTATGTGTCTTACCTGGATTGAAGAGCACCTGGCGGGAGGTGCTCGGAAGGTTGTGAAGAAATTTATATTTTTATTTTTTTTTAACTTTCGACTGCACATTAATAATAGATATTTACGTATGAAATGGCCGCTCTGCAGTACTGGCCATTTCAAATCAAAATAATTTTTGTTTGGCTAAGAATTCTAATTTCTCATAATTATATTTTAAAAACATGATCTTTTTTTCAAAATTAGTCATTTGTTTATTGATTAACGTTATGTTTTCATCGCATTTGAATCTTTTTTGTCATCATGAATACATTAAAATTCGAGTAATTATGGTACATGAGTACCGGCGTGGCCGCAACGCGGCGCGGCACAAACGGCTCGCAACATCAACGAAGTTTACAGAGCGAATACTGCAAACGAAAGCACCACCTGTTATTGTTTTGCCCCGTTCCGTTCTGGAAATTTCGACCTGAAAGATGAACGCCATGGCCATCCGAAAACATTGGTCGACAATAACGAATTAAAGGCAATTGTGGAAGCTGATGATACTCAATCTACGGCTGAATTAGCTGCTTTCGATGTTAGCATCATAATAATATTGGTCCATTTGCGTCAAATTAACAAGGTAAAAAAGTTTAACAAATGGGTGCCCCATGAACTCAATTATTATCAACACGAAATACGCATCAAGACGTGACTTGCTCTGCTCAACAGGCACACAAAACAAGTAATTTTAAACAGCATTGTTGCCTGCGACGTAAAATGGATTCTGTTTGACAATTGCAAGCGCTCAGCAAGTTGGTTGGATCCTGATTCAACACCTAAACAGTGCCCTAAACGAAAACTTATCGCATAAAAGTCATGGCCACTGTTTGTTTGGTGGACTAGCGCCGGTGTGATTCATCATAGCTTCTTACCAAACGGGATGAGCATTACTGAACATGTATAGTATGAAGAACTGAACACAATGATGGAGAAGCTCGTACGTCTCCAACCAGCTATAGTCAATCGCTCGTCCCGTTGCTTCTGCACAACAACGTGCGACCTCACACTGCATAACAGAGGGTCTCCAAGTTTCAAGAGCTGGGGTTGGAAGCTCTCCGTTATCTGCCGTACTCGCCAGACCTTGCGTCTACAGACTTCTACTTTTTCTAGAATTTGGACTTTCGAAGTGGTTTAACACAAAAACAGTGTGTTGACCGGATGATTTCTGCATTTGGTGATGAAGCCCATCCAAAACCACAATTTATCGCTGGTTTGCTGAATTTCAGCGTGGACGTCTCAAGCTCAGTGATGATCCCCGTTAAGGTCGTCCAAAAACTGCATTCACCCAAGAAAACGTTGTTGCTGTGCGTAAGCTGATTGAGGAAGATCGACATGTGACATACCGCGAAATTCAGGCAACTTTAGACATTGGCATGAGTCAAATACAAATAATCTTGTATGAACAATTAGGTGTAAAAAAAGTTGTTTTCCCGATGGATACCGCATTCGCTCTGTGAAGAGCAAAAAGCGGCTCGCGTTACTTGGTGCGTCAGAACTCTCGAAAGATTCCACGCAGGATCCTCAAATGCTGTATACAACATCGTATCAGGTGACGAATCCTGGATATACGTACGAACCCGAAACAAAAAAACAGTCACGAGTTTGGGTGTTCGAAAATGAGTTAAAGCCAACAAAAATTGTTCGTTCACGGAGTATTGCAAAAAAAAAATGGTGGCCGCGTTTGTCTCCAAAACCGGCCATGTTACGACTATTCCTCTTGAGGGACAAAGAACGGTCAATGCAGAATGGTATGCTAGCATTTGTTTGCCACAGGTCGTTTCTGAACTCCGTAAAGAGAACTGCAACCGCCGCATCATTCTCCATCACGACAATGCGAGTTCTCACACTGCACACAGAACAAAAGAGTTTTTAGAGCAAGAAAACATAAAATTATTATCCGCCGTACAGCCCCGATCTAAGCCCTAATGATTTCTATACTTTCCCTAAAATAAAGAATAAATTGCGTGGACAGAGATTTTCATCACCTGAAGAAGCTGTGGACGCCTACAAAACGCGGCCATTTTGGAGACCCCAACTTGCGAATGGAATGGTTGCTTCAATGATTGGTTCCATCGTATGGAAAAATGTGTCAAATTTCGCGGAGAATACTTCGAAAAGCAATAAATACATTTTTAAATAGTAATGTTGTGTCACTTCCTTGATTCCCGAAATTTTCAGTGGCTGGCACCCTCGTAGGTACTAAATATGCATTAACGAAATATTTTGCAAAATTTACTACTAGCATTGCGAAAATGGCAGGTTAGATATAAATCATTAGCCTACGACTTTCGGCTTCTATAACTTATTCGTATAATGTGACCTAAGGATCAAGTTATTAATAATTTACGCCTGACTTGGCTCTGTACTATAATTATCGTGCTTATTGGAAATTGTATTGCATAACCAGGATCTGAGTAGGTGTCGCTTAAATCACTAATTAATAATATGACGAATTCGACTAGAAAATACATCGATGACAATGACTGTACATTCAAAATCATGTGAACAAGAGCTGTGGATGGTTATAGTTTACCACGATGCAGTTATCCTGTTAGTGGATATTTATGACGCTTTGAACTTGGTCGACCACGATAAATTCATGTATTCTATCCCATTTTAAAATTACTGCTTCGATATTGGAACCGCTTGCTACCGTCAGCAATCAGTCTACGTAAGGCATGATATGATACCTTCCAGTGATGTAGTATTTATGATTATGCTGATCTTTTTTCGGTCAATAACACAATAGCTTTTGTAATATAATGCATTAGATCCATAGATATTCGAAATACTTAAACAAAATAATATAATGATGATGATATTAAAAATAAAAACAGTCTAAAGGTATGTTACAGTATATTAAAATATCACATAATATTGACAATACTACAATTCCGTTCCTTTATACTTTCGTTGCAATGTTTAAAGGAAGTCTCCCTCCCACACGTCCGTCACTGAGTGAGATTGATAGTGATCCCAAAATTAGAATCAATCCCATTTAGAAGGGGGAGTTCAGTTAAAGTAACTGAACCCTTCGTGAAACATCTTGCTTAAAAACTTAAAATGTATAGTTGGGAATAATAAAGATATTTCGTTATATTAAAAAAGGGTCATCACTGGATTACCTACGCCATCTTGGGTTGAATGGTCTAAGCTGGATTGTCATCTAATTTATAAATTTAAGTTTTCAATATATGTATATAATTTGGTAAATTCTATTACATATTTATATTTTTATACATTATTGTTTTATTACGTGGTAGAGCCATGCTGCAGTTATATTATAGGTTAGAAAACGAGAGCAAGACTGTGTGCTCGTTTATCACACTATCCTACAAAAAAATTAAGTTTGCTAATCGATGAATAAACAAAAGATAAGAATAGTTTTGACCCAGTCGTTACTTCTCCGTACACTAAAAACCTTTCCGTATAAAGTGACAAAAATTCACAACTTGTAATTAAAGAAAATAGAAAAAAAAGAATACCATTGAAATTTTACTTATAAATATTCTTCATTTAATTTATCTAAAAATTCTGCTGGACCTGTGCATGGAATGAAATCATTGCGACGTCAATATTTTATTAGATCATTATTTTGTTCTCAAGATTACACGAGGCGAAAAGGAAATCGTACCCATTACATGCAATTAGCGTCTGTCACCTATATTGAATATTTTTTAGTTTAATTGCAAAAAAAGAAAAACGCAAAGAGCAAACCCCCAAAAAAAAAAAAAAAAAAAAAGGAAAATACTTAGATTCTGTATCCTGATCCTTACTATCGCAATTAACGTTAGATGTGTACATACTTCCTGCCGGCGCGGCGCTACGGTGTGGTCCTCGTCGTGCATTTAGCGAGCAATTAACACAAATTTCCTGTGTTCACAACTGTGCACGCCTGTAGAGGACACTGCCTTCGCGTGCAATGATCCTTACAAATTTACACGCGGTTTTGATGT